ATGATTATTCTTGATGAGTTGGCTTGTCATTCATTTGCTAATTATTAGTTTATTAAAAGTGATAAGTTTATTGGACTGTTATCTGAATCATCTGTTTATTCATTCCATGTTACCCTTAATCAAAAATGATAATACAAATCAAACATCTTGTTATCTAATTAATTTTGTTTGTCTTTGCCCATCAACAGGATAAATGAAAGATGATTATCTCTTTTGAATGAGTTGATGAAATTAATTAAACTGTTCATCACTGGCATGGTTTGCATGCGGTCAACTGAAGATAAATTGATGTTCAACATTTTTGTCGCCCAATGAATTATTTCACTCGTTTATTAATAACAAGTTTATTCATTTTTTTCGTGTTTACTTTTCCGATGAAAATATCTTTTAATCAAAATCTTTTTTTTCGTTCTCTCGTTTACCCTTTCAAACCAAAATGGGTCAACAATTGAATCAACATTCATCATTATTTAATAACATTAATAGGTTCCATTTGTCACTGGACAAGTTTGTAATTAATAATCCTTTTTTGTCAAATTTTGCTCTCAAAATATTTACTCAATTTGGTCAAATTGTGATTATTTATGTAAATTTGTTTTCATCTTTTCATTGAAAAGGATTAAAAGTTTTGATAAATGTTTAATCAAGTGAGGAATTAATTGAATCAACTGTATTTGTGTTTCATTTTTTGACCAACTTTTCATGTTTTCACCCTTTAATGGTTCTCTCTTTAAAGCTCGCTCTTTCAAGCTTCAGGGCAAAGATTCTCGCTGGGTCATGTGAAGCTAAAAGGGTCTCAAGTTGATAAGTTCAAAGGTAAACAGTTCGGTCACAATCTATTTCGATTAAAGATTCAAATCCCAGATTCGAATTACAACTGATGTTCGATCTTTTGACGAGTTTCTCATTCTCATGTTTTTCAGCTTTTCACCTTCGATTCATGAATTGACTTTTGATAGTTTTTCGAATCTGTCGATTCATGTGCTTGTTTTGGTCTGTATCATTGATTATGTGAAACGATTTTATTTCAAGTAAAAATTGAGAAACGATTTTGTTGGATTCCATGAATTTTATGAGAATGGAATGTGTGATTTTCCATAAAAAAATTGAATCTTGACCCAAAATTGACCTAAAATTGAAAAAAACGGTAAACATTGAAAAAACTTGTTTCTTCCAATGAGTTTAAAGTCTCATTCAATAAGCCAAATCGGATCATGTTTATAAGTAGCTTGTTTGAAAGGACAAGTTTACAAAATTATGATTGATTGATGGCGATGAAAAAGTTATCTGACATTGAAAGGAATAGAGAAAAGTCTCTGAATTGTTTGAAAAAAAACGATAAATTGATGACATGAGAAACCCTGAAGGGTCACTTACCAAATGATGACAACTTTTCTTTCCATCACCTTCTTTTGGTCAATTGTAACATTATTGAACTTTTCATTCTTTCAATTTTTTCTTCACTCACTTTATTCGCCTTTGCCCTTTTTCACTGCTTTCCCTTCATCTGACAATCCCTGCAACCCTGAGATTCTGTTATTTTTCCGGTTTCATGGCTCTTGTTACTTCAATCTGTCTTCAATAACGCCAGTTTATCCATTAACTTTTCATCAACAGAAGAATTTTTTTCTCTTTTTGCTCTTCGCATTTCGATAGTCCAAGTGAATGGTCGGTGAATAAAAACTGGTTGGTCGCCTTTCAATAGCTTTATCTCCATCACTTGTACATCATCATTATCATTATTGTTATCATTGTTGCTGTTGATGTTATCATTTGAGCACTTGTTCTGATGGTCAATGAATTATGTTATCAACAACAAATAGAGAAAATGATCAAAAAGCAGAGAAGAAAAAGTTTTGCCTACTTTGGTTTTCTTTTTATACATTTTGTTGGTCAATTCTTTTCTCTTCATGAGGACAAAATTTTTCTCTCTTTTTTTTATTCTCACTTCGAAAATGAACTGGCAAGAGAAGAGAAAAAAAATTCCCTCATGTTAACCACTTTTCCTTCTTTTCCATGTCAATCTATTTTATTGCTTTATCCTGACCAATTGCTTTGGTTTTCATTCGGAACAAGATTTTGACTTGAAAAGAAGAAAAAAACTGTTAACTTGATTCCTTTTGTTCAACTTTTGCTCACATTTTTCAACATTCAGAGTTTTTTCAGTTGACACTCTTCTCTCTCTCTTTCTTTTCATGGAAACATTAAAAGCTCCACTGAACTGATTGAAATGAATAAGCAAATATTTTTATCAATTTCAATTTTGAATCGTTTAACATTGCATTATAATGTGAAAATGGTGTCAATCAACTTTAGTCAATTTCAAGTCGCAATGTTTACCATTGATTTGATTAGCCGATGAAACTAAAACACTGTTCATCATTCATCATGAAGTTGATTAAAGTTGAGTTTCCAATGTGAATAGCTTTTCCATGTTTACATGTAATTTTGGAAAAACAAAAAAAGAGAGAAAACAAATTTTCTTTTGAAGGAAAACAACTTGAACAGTTTCAAGACGAATATCGACTCGAAACAGTTTTCTTTATATGTTTACCATTTGCCTTTTATATTAAATTATACAACATAATTTACTGGTCAAGACTGGTCGACAGCAAAAACTGTAAACAGAAGAACAAGAAGAGTCCATTTCTCATCCTTTTTTATCTCTCATCTTTGTCCATGTTAGTAAAGAGAAACAATCTCATCAAAAAAAGATTCAAAGTTTGCTTTTTTTATATTTGTTATCATCCAAAGACAACTTTCACTAAATCATTGCAAGAAGAAGAGGAATGAAGAAAAGTATTCCTGAAGGTGACCATTGGTCAGTGTTGAGAGGAAGAAAAGAGAAGATGGAAAAACAGTTATTACATATTGACTGGATTAACAAAGTTTGAAAAGCTCAAGTAATTGAGTTGAAAAGTCAGTTAACTGTGTCAACTTGTCCAATTTATTGGTCACTGATAGACATGTGATAATGACGATGATGATCATACCTTTGGTCCATTAACTTTTCACTCTCTGAGTAAACAATCATCATCACCACCATTATCAACATTATCATCAACATCATCTTCTTTGACTTTATTTTACTCTTTGGAAAGAAAAACACAAAAAAGTAAAGTAAAGACAAGAAGAAAGATTATTATTCCCTTTCAAAAGTTGATTGCAACTAAATCCTATTTGCCAATCAACATGAAAACATATCACTTTACTGATTATCCTTACTCATCATCATTATCATCTCAACATTTTTCTCTCTTTTACACTCAATTTACTCTCTTTTTCATTGAAACACAGAAACAAAATAAATCCAAAAGTCGAAAAGAAATTCATCAATAATGAAGAAACACTCAGAGCATCCAGAAATGCCAAAACTGTCCATTAAACAGTCGAAATTTTTCCACGAAAATCTTGAAATTCGAAACTTAAAGATTTCGATTCTCATCAAAAATAAAACTTGAACAAGTTGGCGATATTTCTGATGAAACAATGATGATTAAAGAACGCTGAGTTTCGATGATCGATTTCGAAAATTTTTTGCATTTCGAATGGAAAATTTGAGAAAAAATAGATTTCAATTTTTCGAGCTTTCCATGAACTTATGTCATCGTTATTGGTTGCAAATCTTTTGACAACAAATGAACAAAATTCATGGAATTATTGTGAACTCGAAATTGCGATTAAACACGAGATTACACTTTCATGAGGTTCATTTATTTTTCACCAAATGATCATCTTTATTTGATGAAATTTTTAATCAACATTCAGAGGAATTATCAATGATCAAGTATTCAGGCAAATGTTGAATCTTGGAAGGAAAACATTTTTAATTTTTGTGACAAAAAAAGCTTAAACTTTTTCTTTGACTTGTTTTTGGTTTTCCTGGTTCTTGGTTGATCCCTTTAACATTAAATCTAGTATCATCAATTTAATGATTCAAAATGATTATCATGGCAGAGTTGAGTGAGAGAAAAAAAGTCGAGCAAAGAGTCAAAAATTGAATGTAATCATTAAAAGTCGAGGTTGGCACAAGAAAAGAAGAGGAAAAGCTTTTAATTCAGTCAAGATTAAGTTACGATTAACAATTGTAATCTCTCAAGATTTGCAATATTATCTTAAATGAAAAATTAACTTGCAAAGTAAAGACTATTTAATGTAAAATCAATGTTCAAGATGAAAGAAGAGACAAAATGATCATTTGATTTTTTCTTCATTTCTCATGAAAACGCAAGAAAAGAGTTAACATTGTAAAGCAACAATAATCAGAGTTAATAACAATGGTAATAATATTTTGCAAAAAATTAACTCTTTTCGCCTTCTCATGTAATATTTATCATTGTTGATTCTTAATCATTAAGTTAACTCTTTTTACCATAAAGTTATCAAACTTTTATCACCTCATCTCGAGAAACAAGAAATGCAATAGAATTCGAACTTTTTTTTCGCTAAAATAATGAGCGTTTTTTTCGAAGTAAGAAAAGTTTCCTTTTCCAACCCTTTTTTCACTCTTTCCTTTCTCTGTTTACATGGAAAAAAGTTTATCATTTATTTTCATGGTTAACCTTGTTACAGCTTTTTATTGATGATTTTGTCTTGAAATAATTTTGAAAGTTTCATTTCAAATTGAATCCATTCATGAATGTTTTCATTTCGATTTCGATGTTGGGAAACTTTTGTTTATCAAAATTGCTGGTGAATAAACACAATCAGCAGGAGATTTTTATTGAATGTTGATTCAAGAAAGATAATGTGTGTTTCCAACTCGACTTGCTGGACCTCATACTGGTCATTATCAATTCATTGCTTTGTTTTTTTGCTTCGTTTTCATTGGAATGGAAAGAGAAAAATCTTTTGATTGCAATTTGTTGCAACAATGTTTATATCGATATTTTTAAGGTTAAACTGTACTGTGTGGTCGTTGTTACATTGCAACTCAAAGAATCATTTTGTTTGCAACTCTTTCTGTTTGCTTGTTTAATGGTCAAATGGTTAATACTTACTTCAATTGGTAATTGTTATTTGCATTGTTGAGGTTTCCTCGAGAAAAAAATAATTTATCAAAATGTTGCTCTTTTCGTTTGCTGCGTAATTGGTGTTATCTGTTGCTGTTGATTGCTTGGTCTTGGAAGATGTTTAATTGGTCGTTAATTGCATTCCATGAATATTGATGATTAAGCATAGTTTGAGATGGAAAATGAGTCTCTCATTTTGATCCATTCATATTTACAATGATTTGCTCTGGAGGAAGAAAAGAAGAGAAAATTTTTGATTAAATTTTAATTTGAAAATAAAATTGAAATTCGACTTTTCATTTGTTCGCTCAACTCTATCAAATGAACTTTTCTTTTCAATCTTTCAAGTGTTGATGAAAATTTGTGTTCAATTTTTTACGCTTTTTTGAATAACTTTCAATACAATCTGAAAATGATTGATTCAATTTTATCGTGATTCAAGTTTTATCCGTGATAATTTTGAGAATTGTTTGTTAGCTTTTAATAGATTGATAAATGTTTATCCATTTGTTGGGATGTTTTGCAAACGGAATTGTTTAATAGGAATCAGTGGAAGGAAGAAAGAGAGTAAAAGAAGGTTAATTGTTTTCCACTTTTTCTTCTTTTTCTTCTTCTTCTCTTGATGAGAAGAAGATGATGGGAAGATGTGGTGATTATGATGATGATTACGATGATTGTTTTAATGTTTACAGAGGTCCAATTGTCTGTGTTTAGCAAAGTCCACGGAAGTGAAAATAGTTTGTAAATCAATCCGAGTACAAGTTATTAGGCTTGTTGCAATTGTTTAAGGAATCAGTCATCCAATGGAGGCAAGAGAGAGACTAAGTTGCTAAGTGTTCATCATGAACATATTAGAAGATGATGTTCTTTGGAAATTCAGTGAGAGAAGAAGAGAGATTGACAAAAAGGAGGAGAAAAGATGAGGAAAGATGAAAAGTACCAAAAATGCCAATATTTTCAATATTTTGGGCCAAGTTTCCGGATTTTCTTGCGAGTCATTAGGCTAAAGCTTTAAATCATCTTGAGAGGCTCAATGATTCTTTAAGACGATTGTAATGAAGATGATAAAAAAAGAGAAGAAGAAGAAGAAGACAAGATCACGCTATCTGTAATAATCAAACTAAATCTGTGTACAAAGCTGATTGGGTCAAGAAGAGAGAGAAGAAGAAAAAAACTGTCAAGAGTATCTCTTTCTTAATTTACTGGAACTTGTTCTCATCTTTTTCCAATCTTTACAATAGCATCTTCTTTCTTCATGATCATGTTCTCACAATAACGCATCATTGTCATTTTCGCATTCCTCATCTTCCTTGCCTCATTTACTTTGCTCATCATCATTTTCATTCCTCAACATTTTCTTAAGTCTTTTCCAATCAATCTCCTAACCTCTCATTTGGCCATCTTTACACAACCAGCCAAAAGCCGACCACAACTCATGCAACATTATTGCTGATTATCATTACTGTTATCATAGAAGTCATTTTGATGAAAATTGGGAAAACATTTAAAGCCAAAAATGTTGCCCGAAAGAAAGGAAAGAAAAGATGGAAAAATAGTTTTCCAAGGAAAGCAAACAACGACAAATGTAAATGTTGAAGCAGATGAAATTTGACCAGAAAACACTCTACATGAATAACAATCAATTTCAAGGATTCAGATGAAACAACATTCAAAAGTAAATATTAATTTTCATTTGATCCAGTGGCTCCATCTATTGTGTTAAATCTACATTTCTTTCCATTAACACTGATAATTAGTTGCAATTAAGTAATTATTGAATAATGAATATCGAATGAAACTTTTGGTGAAAAAGACGAAAATAGAATAATTGTTTTTGGATTCATTTTGCTTTTTGGCAATGATCTGAAAGACAGGAATAAGATTGAAAGAGATGAAGAAATTGGTCAAAATTTTCAACATTATCTGGTTCTGGGAAGATGAATAATGAAGTGGATTTTTTACCATAAAAATGATATTATGTAAATAAAAGATGCTTTTCTTTCGATTCAGTGTTATTCATGACAACATACCTCAATGTAATCAGTATCTGAATACAAAAGAAAAGTCGAAAAAAGAGGAAAATAGGAAAAGAAGAAAAAAACGAAATAATATTGAATGCCATGAATATCAAGAATGTTGACCAATGTTGGTAATTGTGATACAGGAATGTCATTCTACTGGTTAAATGATTTACGAAAGCTTCTTATGATAGATTGAACCGGAAGGTAAGCAAATTACTGGACATTGTTCAATTATGATAATTAGTTCATTTCAATTTGATTGAGATCACTTAAATCTTGTTTAATCTAATTTCATTCAAAATGTGAACCACAAATAATTTATCATTATTATCGTCATCAGGCAAAAAGGAAGAGAGAACAAGTTGATAAATTTTTTTGCTTCAACTTCTAGCATCATCTGTAGGAAGAAGAAGAAGCAATAGAATGAAAAATCCCGACCAAAGCAGGATAAAAAGATGTGCAATAAAGAAATATCAGGATGAAAAAGGAGATGAAAAATTTGACAAATTGAAGTTTTCAAGTGCAAAAAACCATTTTCATTCTCATCATTTTGCTCATCTCTCTTTGACCAAAGTGAAAAGATGTAAAGATATTATGCTCTGTGCAATGCATTTATATTATTTTTCATCATTTTTTGCATTTATTTGTACATCATATTGACCATTACGAGTTTTGTGGAGCAGGAAAAATCTATTAGATTATTCATCAAATAAGATCTTTTGAATTTCGATCTGACAAAAATAACAATCTTTCAGCTCTGGATAGCAATTATTGTTGAATTGAGAAAATTCAAAGTCGACCTTATCGATGTTAAAGACGTTTATGTAAGGCCCATTCTGGATCCAATGTTGGAAGGACAAACAGAATTTTTTAGAAATACTTGTGTTTTGAAAGTTCCAATCATTTGTTTTGTAAATAGTGAGAACTTTTCAATCATTTGACACATTTATATAAATGATTTTTTCTCATTCGATTTTTATGTTGAAACTTGAGTATTGACTGTGAACTTTTAGATGCCTTTATAAAAGTCTGTTTGGATACAATTTATTGGATGATTTTGTTGCAGAGTTATGGTCTTCTAGTAAAAGCAATTGTTATTTTAAATCAACTATTTGATTAGAGCACTAATTGTTAGCGGTCGTTTGTGCTCATAACTTTCGAGCCAGAGGTCAGATCTGCATGATATTCAGTCAGCATAATTCCTGAAATTGAAGAACTATAAATCCAGAGTCTCAAGGACATTCAAGGTCATTTAGTTATTTGACCTTTAATTGACTTTTGTAAGTCGATCTCTGAAAGTTCAAACTTTTTCACGCCGGTTGATGTTTGTTACATGTTGATCACTCATATCGTTGGGAAGATTAACGCCTTTGCACCAAAAATAACTCAAGTGAGTAAAAAGATATGAGTGTTTATGTACCGTTCAGTTAATGAATGTAACAAAACATCAACAAAAAGTTTGTACTTTAAGAGAACGACTTTCAAAAGTCAATTAGAGGTCAAATCACTGAATGACCTAGCATGACCTCGAGCCTCTGAATTCATAGTTATCCAATTCCATATACTGACTGAATACCATCCAGATCTGACCTCTAAAAGTTATGAGCACAAACGACCGTCAAGGATAAAATAAACGCACAGTATAGTCAATCAAAGTTATTACTTCTAAGTTGCTTTAACAATGTCAATCAATGAGCTTTCAGATGATTGTTTGCTGGCTATTTTTGATTACATACATACATTAATAGATTTAATAATTTGCTCCGAAGGTAAGTGTAAATCATGCTACATGTATTTATTTAAATTGTCAAATGTGAGAAATGTGGAAACCACCATCCGATAAATGATGTAAAACTTCAATGCAAAAGAAAGTTTTATTGAAACCTCGTTTGTTACCTTGTGATGAATACTATTTATCGTCTGAATGTAAAACGCGCTATTTGGATACTAATATTATAGTTATGCTACTCCCAAGTTTATCGAAACCTCATTTGCTATCCTGTTATGAATATGATTTATATCCGACTGGTAAAGCGGCATATTCGGATATTTCCGCATAAAACTTAAAAATGATTCTTTCGTCTCGATAAAACTTGAATTCTATCAGAATTCGAAAGTTTTTGCAAACTAAAAGGCAACCAGTCTCGATCAAATCAGCCTAACATTTTTGGACTTTTCTCTCACTTTTAAAGGCTGGTTGCGCATTTGAGTAACTTTGACTTTGGATAATTTTCCTATTAAAATTGATAATTTATGTATTTCCATTTGCTAAATGAACGGATAAATTATTGATTTGAAACATTGGCTAAACTGATCATTTTTTATTGTAATATCATTAGGAAAAAGCAAAGAGCGAGAAGAGGAAAGAGAGAGAGAGAGAGAGAAAAAGAATAACAAAAAGGAAAAGTGGAAAAAGTGAAAATAATTAAATTGAAAGAAAACAAAATTAGTTTTTGGGACATTTACTGTTTATCAATAACATGGTCAGTTTGGTAAAGGTTTCAGTTTACCTTGGAAACTATGGAAACATGCGTAAACAATTGAACCATAAATCAGCTGTTGAGCAAAGTTGACCAAAAGCTGGATTCATCAATTGAACCAATTGATAAATTGATTAGAGAATCGTGAAAAGAGACTTTTGTCCAAACTCTTCATTGCTAATCGATAATTTGGAGTGAAAATTTGAAGCCTCTTTTGTCTCTCTTTTCGTCGAGGTTCATCTCTTTTGTCTCACCTTTTCCTCTCCTTTTCCAAGTTGAACCTTTTTTATCAACTCATTATTGATGTATCATTATTATTGCTCATTATTATCATGCATCAGCATGCTCATTAAAAGTTTCCTCTTAAATCAACAGAGGGCAGACTATTTTTTAACCAAATAAAAAAGTTATTATTATTAATGAAAATGCATTTATAATGTTCGCATGTGTTTAACATTTCAATAATGCTTAATGCCTTTTGTTCAACCTTTCAATTGCAAGTGTTCAATTGAACCAGAAAATGAAGCAAAATTTTCATCCAATGCTGGCAACAATTCAAATTCATGGACAACATTTAATCTGAAAAATGTTGAGAATAAAAGTAAAATGAAAAAAAGAAAATGTTTTCATTCGAAAGTTGAATGTTGTCTTTTCATGTGAATGTGTTTTTGTGAATGAAAATAACTCCTCTCATGATGTGAATGAAATGTGTAAAGATGAGAAGA